GGCGAGCCGGGCGCTGCCGCCGCTCGCCCCAGCCCGCGAGCCGCTCCTCCCAGCCGCAAGTGCCGCAGCTCTCCGCAGCGCCAGAGCTGAAGCAAACCGCGCTGCAGCTCCGGGCTCTCGTGGTGAAGGGGTTATTTCACTCTCGAGGAGCCGCACAGAGCATCACAGCCTGCGTCTCTTTGATATACCTCGCTCTCCCAGCGCGCTCTCTGAACCCAGCTATGTGCAGGGAGGATGTCCAAGGCACGGGCTGGGGCAAACATCAGCCTGAAGGCAGTTCTGTGGCAGACGCGCTCCCTGGGCCACCTGAGAGCGTTGCTGAGAAGAGCGGAGGGACACAGACTCCACGTTTACTAGCTGAAGGAGCTGAAGGCAGTGCTGGCTTCCAGCTCCCCAGTGGCACAGGACAGCATGGTCCGGCCAGGTGCCCTAAAGCATCAGGACGTTGGATGAATAAAAAGGCAAGAGGCATCTGACTCCAGGGGCTGGGAACTTTGGTGCTCAGAGGCTGAGCTCAGAAAAGCCAGTTAAAGGTGACAAAGCTGGAAAGTGAGGCAGCAGCAAAGACTAAGCAAAGAGACTTGGAGGTTAGATAGTGCCCCATGATATATGGTGGAAGCCACCTGAGATAGTGAGATGCTTTTAACAAGGTAGGTGAGAAAGGCACAGAGTATGAAGGACCTAAAGAGCTATGCAGCCTGCATGAAAAATAATGATTGATAGAGAACAAGGAGAGGATGCTGGAAATTACACAAAAAAGCTGCTCTGGGTGACAGGCAAGCATAAATCTAATTTGCTGATAGAAGATTTATGTAAGGTTGCCAGCATCAGCTTCACAGCCCTCTTCAGGCACAAAGTGACAGATGTGTAGGTGAACCCACTTCATCCTCCCAGTCACACACAGGGCAGAAAGAAAGGGTTGGAGGTGGATGAGTTTCCTGCTCTGCCTGCTGCCATTGTAGGATGACATGCTACAGCAGCAGCAAAAAGGTGCATGTATTCTCTCATCCCTAGGTCCCCTACACCACACACACAAGCTCCAAGACGATGCTCATACAGGGCTACAGGGACAAGCTCCTTTAGAAGTTACGCAGCAAGAAAGATTACTGAGGGCACTGCAAATTCACACGGCTACTTACGCTGGCCACACACTAGTGCGGGAGAGACAGAGCCTCCAGGCTGGCCTAGAAGAGCCCATCTCGGCTGGCAGCACTAACTCAGCCAGCCCTAGGTGCCATCACTACTGCAGGGAACGGTATACAGCAAGAACCAGCTCTTAATGCCACTGAGGGCTGGTGTTAGGGACATGCTCTCCCTGTAGCATTAATCATTACTAATGATCTGAGCATAACCCCAAGCAGGGCAAGTGGGGACAAGGTGCCCAGATGGGAAGATGTAACTGCAGCACAGCATATTTTTTCAAGATTAGATTCTCCTGTAGCCCCATTGCTGTAGCAGTAATCCAGTTGTTCATGTTTTCCCTTTGTGAGGAAGGACGCTGTTGTTATCCCCTCTTTACAGAGGGGGAATTGAGGCCTAGAGAGGTGAAGTAATTTCCTCAAGGTCGTACCCAGGAGAGGGGCAGACAAGGAGACAAAGCTGGCACCTCCTGGGGGACCTGCTCCATCTCTGCTGCTCTCACTTGGGACACTCTTGGTATCTGGTAAAAAATGTGTGTGATCGTTAACTTCTACCTATTTACTCAGTGTCAAAAGGACACTCCACCTCCTAACCCTTCTGCTACCCTAGAAGCAAAACAATTTGGTAATTCCAACATTTATTAATGATCCAGAGCTTTCCGAAATGAGGGTGTGCTGGTTGCTTGATGACACACTCAATATGAGCAGTCCTTTGCCAGTTCAAAGCTGTGCTAGAGTCAGGCTATCGGTCCACTTGTTCCAATATTCTCCCCCGCAGGTACATTAGGGAGTTGCTCACCATGGAAAGATTTAGGTAAGTTATGCATGCACAAATCAGGACACTGCAGAAGTTTGATTAAAATTTCAGCAAGGATGAGTTCACCTAAGGGCGGTGGGGACAAATTTCCATTAACATGGGTGAAATTTGGAATCTTAGGGAAATGCAAAGCATTCCAAGATGATGCAGAATTTCTGGACGTGCCTTGAACGATAAAAATCAGCTAACAGAGAAGCAGCAACTGTCACTCACTGTTGCTATTAACCATTCCAGTTATGGGCTGGCTGGCCAGTCTCCAATCTACACATACATTGCTTGAAAAAAGCAGATGATGATCAGGGGACATAAGGAAGAAGGAGTACTCTGTGTATGTGTTTATAGGCAGGCAAGAGGTCTAGAGGGAAATACAAAAGCTAGGGTGAGCAGACAAGATCCTGATGCCTAAGTGGACTTTTACTGCTACATAATCTCTGCAAAAATATCAGCAACAGCTGAACAGAAATGAGCTTGACTTACGGGACAGTGGAGCGGTTCTCTGGCAGCTCTGGCAGAAAGGGATGGTCGTCTGTTTTGCTTACTTCAGGCTTGGCTGTGGGGGACACAGATTCCCTGACTCCTATGCACAAAGATAAAGAAGCACTAGAAGCATCCTCCCCACATGCTCTGCTTGCCCCAGAGAAGAGCTATTCCAGTGTGCCCCAGGGCAGAAATGGGCCTTAGGTGGGTAAGGGACACAAACTTACCATACAGTTGCCAGATTCGGACTTTATCCTCATAAGGTAGGTCATACTTTAGAGGATCCCCCACTGGACCTTGATAATAGGGTCTCATGATAGACTCTACGGCAGAGATGTGGGTCAAGCCAATGGCATGGCCAAATTCATGGACAGCTACAGCAAATAGGTCCATCCCATGAGCATCTGGAAATACAAATATCATCAACATGAAAGTCACTACGTGCTGATTGTATTTTGTGGGTTTGGACAGGCTGTAAAAGAAGATACATATGTATGTTGGGTGAAGTCAGACTAGCAGATTATGGTTCATGTCTGAGTGGGACAACTTCAGGGTTGCACAGGAAAGGGTTTGCTCATCCTAAGAGAATATTTGCGATTATAACATTGTTTTCCACCTGTAAAGGCCTTACAGTCTTTTACGCTAACAGTCTTAATTTTTTATTGGACGGAGGGTTTAGAGTGGGATTTTTAACATGGTCATTCCCCCCTTAAACTGGAAAAAAATGTTTTGGAATAGGTGAAATTTTGAAAAATAAAGTATTTGCCTGTTGAAAAAAGGAAACCAAAGTGTATCATATGAAAATGGACAGAAGGCCAGACACCAGCTTGCCTGTACCAAGGGACCCGTGAGAGTCAGGCACAGCCATGCCAGGGCAGTGCCAGGCAGAGCAGGAGGGGACATGTGCGGGGACCGCAGCCAGCCTGCCCGAGGCACGCTGCCAGCACTGCTCTGTCTTTCAGCTGGGGTCTTCCTTGCCTGTCAACTGCTGGAATTACACACCGCCGTCTTGGCCAAGCTCTACAGCGAAGGAGCTTCCTGGGTGCATACAAACACTGAGCTGGCTTCTGATCAGTCATCAAATCTCCCATCACGCTGCTCATTTAACAACTGCCCTTATAGGGCATGACAGTGGTCACGTGAAGCTGTTTCCAGAGGACTTGCCGGTCTTCTGCCCTTCCACATCTTGCTGAAGACTTCACCAGGAGGGTCTGCAGCTCTGGACTCTCGGCCTGCTCCTTTAAGCAAAATGTTGACCTTCACCTATCACACTGTGCATCAGAGAGAACTTATTTAACAATAATACCTCCTCGATCACTTTTTTACTGGTTGTTCCTCCGTGTGGGTCATTTCTACTCTACTCTCTTCCCCCAAATTCCCTTACTTGCAATCTAACCTCTAGTGCCCGACATCACATGCACCATGTAGACCCATCCTTCCAACAAAGGGTCCCCTTCAGAGCCTTGAAGGGGAATAACACTCCAGTTATTTCCTCACATGGGTTAGTATCCTCTTTTAAAACCTTCCCTGCTGCCAAAGCCAGGGAACAACTTCCTCCAGGAACCGTAAGGGACTGATCTGGGTCTTCACACCAAAGGGCTCCCTGCCTAGCCTGCGCTGAGCACGCATGCAATAGCCACCCCTCACTGCATGGCAATGCCCTGTAGAGCAATACCAAGAAGGAGGTAATGACTTTAAGTATGGCTGTGACAACGTTCATGATCACAAGTATTGTAATAAGGCGGGAGTGAGGCTGGAAAGCCGACACCTCCCCGAGCGCACAGGAACCCCTGCTCCCCTAGCTGCGGTAGGGGCCAGAGGAGAGCTCGCAAAGATGCCAGCGCAGCTGATCATGCATAGTGCTTTGCACTCCCCACTGGGCCTGCCGTGTGGGGGAATGTTTTTGCTGAATTCTTCTTCTTCCTTGATGACTATTATTTACAGTGTCTGTAAACAGCTGGGTTTTTTATAACTTGTGCTGTTTTCCCCAGCACCAGGAGAGAACAAGACATACGCTTTCTGACGTTTTAATGCCAAACTGACAACCTTGGGGATATTTTTATATTACCTACCAAGTTGTTATTTTTGAATCACTGGGGAGAACAAAATAAATAAAAGATGAAGCTTAGATAGCTCCAGACCTTAGCAATGGAGGGTAGCTTTCCTGTCATCAGCCTCAAGCCCTTGTCTCTTGGCCGTGCTTGGAGGTAATCGCTGGCCTACGGGCCTCTCCCCACATCTGCTCCCTCAAGGTGAACGTGTGGAAGCTCCTTCCACTGTGCTTGAACAAACAGCAATCAGGACCACCAGGTCCAAAGCATGCAACACTCTTTGCTTAATCTCTAATGACACATCTGCTAAGACAAGCTACCAAACTCGCATGCTCGCCTCAGCTATGTATGCTCGCAGAACAGAGCTGACGCTTTTTTTTTTCTTAAGAGACACTAGTTGCTGTTACAGAATGGCAAGAACCAAGGAACAGGTTGATTTTGACCTAGTTTTACAGGAGCACAAAACTAAGAGCATCCTGTCAGCCAGATGGGGGTGTTCACAGCTGCACTGCAGCGATGCTCCCCGGGTCTCTGTGGGGAGTGACCCTCTGCTCCAGGTCTGGGGGTCCAAAGCCAAGGCCAAGAGCCATTGCTTGGCCCCAGCCTGGGCTCCAGCCTGGCTTGTCATGGTTTCCTGGGGTTGGCGATGCAGTGCCTTGGGTCTGCCTGTCTAACACCAGGACAGCAGAATCAATCACCTAGAGGGAACAGCACAGGTGCACGCTCCTCCTCGCAAGAATATGTGAGTGTCTAGTATACAAGGACTCGCCCACAGATGGAAAATTTCCAGTGAAACATTTCTGGCACCAAGGCTACAGCCCATGAGAGGCACCACCATTTAAGTGCTCCACCTGGGGCAGCGAGGAAGACTTTAGCCCCCACAACTCCAGCCTAGGGCTTAGCCGAGGGGACAGAAGTGAGGCTTAGCATGACAGAAGTGGTGTGACACGTAAATTAGCAGCTAGTGACGGCAGCAGCAACACACTGTCAAAGTGAACCCAACACGAAGGTTGTGAGATGGGATCTCCTACAAATGGCTTGTGCAGCTGAGACACGCTCACTTGTAAAGGTCCCTCCACTTGTTAAAACTGTGCTGTTAGCTAGACAAAATGACATATAAAGAAAACAACCCCATAAAACCATAACTTATAATCATCATCTTGAAGTCAGTTAAGGGACAAGAGATGGCAGGAAAAATCTAGCTCAGCCAGGAGTTTCTTTTCTCTGTAGTCCTCAGAGCCCTTTCCAGAGAGGTCAGTGTAAATATGCTTTAAAAATAAGATCCTCTACAAACAGAAAACTGAGGCATGTGCCAGCAAAGCCACCCAAAAGATGGAGTCAGAACCCTGTCCCCAGCCAGGGGCTGTCACAGACACATGCTGGTGCCCCTCCAGGCCGGGGAAGAGAAGAGGTTGGTGTTGCTCTGCCTGCTCTTACAGCAGGAGCAGGAGGGCTAGTTGTTTTCTGTTAAAAATGGCAGTTTTCAGCCCAATCTGCATTGGCATCAGGACTTCCATCCCCTAAGACAGGAGGCAGCTATAGGGTGTGGGAGAGATCAGGGAAGGGTTATGACAGTGGCTGGGACCTGGGCTCCTCTGCTGTGGCAGGACCAGTTTTAAAACATGGATTAGCAGAGGGCTGGCTCTCTCAAGCCCAGTCTTGTATGCCACCATGCAAAGGCGGGTCACTGCCCACATACGCCTCCTCCCACAAATGAACAGCGACTGCACAGCAGAGGGGACAACTGGGTCCCAAAGGTGTTATGCCCCAGTTTCCCGTGAATAGCAACCCGCAACTGTGCGTATGATGGGGAGAAATACAGAGATGTCATTGAGGCTTCGAGGAAAACAAAAGGTTACCAACAGTGAGTGGTGGTGTTTTGCTGGCAAAGTTGAGGGAACCAGAAGAAGGTCAAGGGAGTCCCAAGCTGAGGGTGAAGGTGTAACAGAGACAGAATCACCCTAAACGTTGATGCAGAAGAGAGGAGCTGGCAGTTTGTGAGTTTGGCTGCAGCTCCCTTACCTGACGTACCTGATGATCGGAAGGTCCAATATTCATCATCATCAAAATGAGTGTCTCCTGCTGTGTGGTGGTCTCCAGGGAAGAAAGCGTGTGCTACTGTGCCACCAGGCCCGTCGAAAGGATAGCCATCATTGTGATCTGCCTTGGAGAAGTCGATCTGTATGTCAGCATTGTTACCTGCCACCTCATGGAAATTCAGTGGGGTAATGTCGCTCCAGACCTTCAGGGCATAGTACATAAGGGCACGGACTGTGTCGTGGCCCAGGTGGGATTCTTTTGGAAAGGTGCGGACCCTGAGAGAGAGACAAAAAAAAAAAAAAAGAATGAAAAAAGGATAAGACAGTAACAAAGAGGATGAGCATCTTTCTCATTCTGCTGATTGTTTTATGACAGAGGGACCTCTCAGAGTGAGCTCCTCCACACCTTGGGCCATCTCTGCACACCACCAGAAAGGGCTCTGCAGATGCCTGGTTCAGCTGCGAACAACACAGTGCTGCTGTGAAGCAGCAGAGCTCTTAGCTCACCTGAGAACGCACTTGATTTATGTGTATTTGTGAGTCTCTGAGTCACTTACATTTCAGAGCTACTAGCTACACTTCCACAGACAAACTCTGTCACTTATACCCAGAACTACTACCTTGCTCATCCTTGGAAATCACAAAGCCGTGATTCCCTTTCTAGAGCTTGCCCAAACTTTTTTTTTTTTTGGTGAGTTCCCTTTCAGATCTGTTGATAATTATTTTCTCACCACTTACTTGTTCCAAATGCAACCCAAACATAAAGATTATTGACTGCTGAAGCCATTGCCCCACACACAGGCCCGTGAGTTTTCCTGCAACAACCAGCAGGTCCTTATGCTGGCATGTAAATCCACGACAGATTTGCTGCTTCCATATACTCCCCGGCATGTTTGCTGGAGGCATAAAACAAACTCTGACACTGGCATACTGCCGGCCATCTTTGAGACCACAATATATAATGAGGAAGAGGAAAGGATACATTTTATGCAAATCTTGTTCAAAATCCTCCAACCTGTTGCTGGTGGTAGATAGCATATCTGATGGAGCACTGTAGTGGAGAAGCTCTTTCTTGGTAGAAAAAGTACAGATTAGCTGGGGCTTACTACACTATTGCACATATCAAGGGGGATATATGTTTTCTCTATATTGGGATAACACCATTCAATCCCCAACACTGCCTTGTCCTGGAAGAAAAGTCAGATGGGAATAGCAGCATGCCAGGCTTTGCCCTGCAGCGGCGTAATTCAAACCTCCCTTTTGTTCTAAGTTGGAATGAAAAAAGTCAATGTTTCCCGCGTAATCAAATCTCAAGAAAGAATTCGCGGTACTATTGATTTAATATAAAAGGTGAAAAGACAAAGATGCAATAAGGCATCCTGACTTCTGAAAGAGTATGTTTAGATAATCTTTCATTGACGCTTTTGACAAAAATAAATAAATTCTAGGAAAATGTACTATTGACTGAGTAATTATTGATAGAAAACAATTCTACTGGAAAATTTCTGGCCAGCTCTACCCTTGTAATAACGGATATTTTATTTCTTGTGTACCAGCACACTAACCAAAGCGTTCATGAAATATTCATGGCTTGACAGATTTTAAAGGCTAAAGTAACAATTATGATCACCTCACTCGCCCTCCTGCGTAATATAGCTCAGAGAACATCACTCAGTATTACACTATTCCCCAGCACCAGTGCGAAGTAATGACTTGACTAAACCTCTAGAGGTAATTACAGGTGTCAGGAAGGGATGCCATGCCACTTGTCACTTCCTACTAGTAAAAATTTGTGTAAAATTACATAACAATTTGGGAGACATCATGGATCAGTAAAGAGGAATATGAGCAACCTGCTGCAGAAGTTGGCTGCTCTTGCTTTCACAAATACTTGCTTTCTATCCTGTGCCCTCAGAGACATACATCCCAAAGCTGCCTGACCTGGGCAAAGTCAGTGAGGTTTAAATTCAGGATAGAAAAAGCCCTACACTTGTGAGAACGAGCAGACAGCTAGCAGCCTCCCTGAAAGTTTCTCCAACGAGCTTGGGAAACCTGTCCTAGAGATGCTGTAAACAAACTGGGCAGATCAGGCAAAAGACATCACAGCCACAATGGCAAAAATTAGTCATATCTATGCCCTTGCTATCTCTAAACTAGTCTAGAGAAAGAAAGACCTCGACAGCTAAACACCTCTAAGGAGTGGTACATGGAGGTACAAACAGTATGAGCATGGGATTAGAAAAGACAATTCTCAGGTAATTTTTAATTTATGAAAGAGGCTAGCTGAGACTAGATGAAGGGCAGGCTGCACACTAGCAGCAAAGCATATACTTGATATTGCTCTAATTGAAGGTTTCACTGTGAACCTCTGCAACGTAAAAAAGGTCATCTCCCTTCCAGATATTCCTTAAATAAGTGAGGAAGTGTCTTCACCTTCCAGGATACACCACCATATTTAGGTAAACCCTTTGCAGCTTTAATGTCAACTAAATAAGTAACTATACGTGTAAAACGCACCACGCTTATTCCAGGACCTAGGACCTCATCTTCAAGGTCTGAGTGCTCAGGGCATGGGACTCAGATTCAGGAATATTATCTGCTCTTCCTGCCTCAAGCCCTGCTCTACCGTGTGAACCATTTTCCTTTCCTTTGCCTCACTTTCCACAACTGTAAAAATGAGAATAACAAATCTAATCTTCCTTGAAAAAGGCTGGTGGATGAAAAGCACTGTTTGAAGAGACAAATATTATTAATATTCATTCTAATCCCTAACTCCAGAAACATTAAATTAAGGCGGAAACAATATCAATACTTATTTTGCTTCTTATAAAAGGTCCTGCACCTCTGAGCTGACCCACGTTTTATTAGCATGCTGCAGGTGTAAGTGAAAAATCCCTGATCCTTTATTCATTACCACTGTTATTTTTCAAAAGAATCCCATCAGGATTTCCAATTCAGAATCTGATTTGATTGCAGGAGCTCTGCTAATTGTTTTCAATGAGATTAGAAGAAGATTATTATATCAATAGGATGTTCAACGGCACTGCTTTATCAAGTCCCACCAAAAAAGCAGCACATTTCTAACAGAATGTAGATGCACAAAGGGCTAAAGAAGTTTCCTCCCACCTTGATTATTACTATTATTCATAGTATAATGGTGCCTAGATAGCCAGTGGAGATCAACGCCTCTTGTTCCTGGGCATTAATCCCTCCTGAGATGCCTCTTAAAGAGCTCCAGTCTCTGGTAAAGGCTTGGTTTGAGTAACTGGAGAGAAACCTCCCCTCTCCAGAAATTCCCACAAGAGGTGCTATGGATTGAAATGCTAAAGAAAGTAAAATCGTAGCTGAACAAGATAGAAATCGGGCAGGAGAAGACAGATCTAATGCGATGCAGCCAGGGACACGTGGAGGCAAACATCTCCCCTAAGTAGCCTTGAAGCAGCTTGGCACCCTGTTCCTCCTGGAGCCAGGGCACCTGATCTAGGAGATCACCCAGTCGCACCACCTTCAACAGGTCCAACTTGAAGTGCGTGGCTTGGGTTCGCGCTTTCTGAAGGGGCTCTGCCTGGCAGAGGTGTGCTTCCCGGGACAGGTCGCAGGCCGCTCCCCGTCCGCACGCCTTCTCCAGTCCGGCCAGCTCCGACTCCCCATTGCGGCACCAGCCCGGCTCCCTGCAAAGCTGCATGTCAAAAAGGCTCCAAGAACTGAGCGCCAGAGGGAAGTTCGTGCCGCAAGCAGCTCTGCCGTGGGAGCAGGGAGGTACTGCAGCTCCGCGAGAGGTTCCCGTGCCCGCACCTCCGTCAGATGGGGCTGACCGCAGCCTCCTGGGGAGGCAACATCCACCACGCTGCTGCAAACGGCCTGCTGCCGAGCGCTGCATGGCTTCACGCGGCACAGCTGGATCCCAAAGAGAATACCTTGCAGACCGGTAAAAGACATCTTTAAACCAGTTCCTGCCAGTACTGCCAGTGCCTTCTGTAGTCCCCATCCAAAAGTACTTTGGGGCCCAAGTTGGTTGATAAGTAGAGCCCAGAGAGGACTAATTGGTTTCTATCCGCCATGGACCAGCATCCGCGCTGGTGAGAACCTGGATTTCTGGGTTCCTTGCCTGTTCCCCCCCTGACAGGGTGACAAAAGAGAAGGAATACGGGTGATGTACGGGAAATCGATCCCTGCTTAATGAAAGCACTCCTTCACGTTGTGCAACCCTGAAACTAGAGAGAAATAAAATAAATGCTGATAACTACCAAACATAACAGACTATGGATTGCCTGATAAACCCAAATTGATTTTTCTGAAGGGGGGAAGAAGGGATAATTGAAAGTGTAGACGCTGTCCGAAGCACCTGGGGTCGCTTGGCAGATCAGCTTGGGAGCCGGCACGCTGCGGTGCTACACCAGGAACAGCCCGGCATCCGGATGGCCAACAGGAGCTGAGTCGCGCCAGGAAACGGGCACCGGAGAGTTCGCGCTCTCCAGAGCCCCTTTCACGAAGGCTCTCCCAGCATTTTGCAAAGATTAGTGAAACTGGCCTCCCGTTCTTTTTGTGCGATAATCCTTATTCTGCCTTTTAGTATGCACACATCATCAGGCGGCACCCGTCGGCTCGGCAGTACGCGCCGGCACGGGAGATAATTGATTCCAAGGAGAAGACGTGGGTGAAATCAAATTTCACAGCCAGCTCCCTGGGCTGGGAAAGGAGCAGCCGTGCTGGGGGAGGCCGAGCGAGCCGGGCTTGCACCACCGCCGCAGCGAAGTGAACGGCCTCGTCCCTGCTCCGGTGACACCCGGCTTTTTACACGAGGGTTGCACGTAGCGGTGACGGGTGCCGCAGGGGCTGCTGGGGGCCTGCCCAAGCACGC